GCAATACTGCTCAAAAAATGAACCAAGATTCTGTTACTCCGTTGCCTGTTTCTCACCTAAAATGTCTTCAGAAACATATTTCAGTGCTCTGTTTGGCTGTAAGATGAGAATATGTGAACAAGAAGTGGGCACCATACTGTTTCTTTTATTGTAAAAATGGCCTCTGAAGATCAAACAGTTAAACTCGGCAGTGCTGTACTGTGTTGCCTATTTCTTGCCTACAATGTTTTCAGAAACATATTTTAGTGTACAGTTTAACTTTAATTCGAGAATGTTTGTTACTGGCCACCATATAGTTTCCTTGGGAAAAAACAATGGTCAGCCTTGTATTATGTCCAGTGGAACTGTTTATTTTTCTGTTGCGTAGCAGTGCATTTTGGTAGTTGTAGGTTTTCTACCTCTTGGGCAAAAGCAAATGCTACAGCCCTTTTTCTCTGTTTTCTCTGGTCAAGTAGAACCAGTTTCAAAGGTATTTGCATCTTCACTGCATAGACAGCCCAGTTCTATGCAAGCGGCAACCTCCGGGGCTGAAAAATTAACATGGAAGTGCCAAAAACTGCAGTTCTTCGAACGGCCACTTGAGGCTGGCTCCAGATGTGAGTCAATCACCATAGACACCCGTGTTAAAATGCCCAACTTTACAGCAGAAATAAACATGTTTTTACAGTCTGGTACAAAAATGGTTTTGCCTTTCATTCTGGCTCCAAATAACCAAGATGGTGACGGTCATAGTACCAAGCTTGAGGCTTCAAAACGGGAGTTCACAAACCAATGGGTCACATCACCGTAGCTACATCTGATATTTATACAGTCTATGGTTTTATGAAAAGACCATCTCTCCATCAGTGAAATACTTCTTAAAACAGATTTAGCTAAGAGACAAGTTTAAGCTGAATGACATCTATACCCGACTTTTGTCTGTACTGTATCGGCAGATAACAGTCTTTTGGGGGTAAGAGGCTGTTGTGGCTGAGTGGTCTTTACTTCAAATTCCCACAATGGCTGTAAAACTGTAGCTGACATGTCCTACAGCAGTCACTCAACCTTCAGCACTCGAGTGTGACTATATGCAAGCTACACAGCTTTCTGTGGATAAATAACTGTTAATAAATCATCATCATCATCATCATTATAATGCGATCCATTTCCAACACAGGACAACAACAACTAAATAAAGTATAATATAGCTATTCTATTGAGGTGATAAGGGGTAAGATTAACGCCTGTCACATTATATCTTAAATCACCTATTCTGAGCAATAAATTCTCTGCTCCTGTCACTTCAGTGGATTTAAAGTGCTGCCTCAGCATGAACCGGTGGTTTGCAGAGGGCATCGGTATCATTGTCATTCTGAGTGCTCTCTGCCACGGTATTTCTAGCCAGCTGTCTACAACCCAGCCGCTCTGTCTTACCCAATAAGTTTGTATACGGACACTTGGCTACTCCTCGGTGCACAGCAATTCACTGCCCTGATATCATCAGGAAAGCGAGACCAATGTGCCAAATCACTTATATGGGCACTGTCCAGATTTCCCAGCAGCAGCAGCAGCAGCCCTGACAGAAGCTCCCGACACAATGGTACATTTGTAAGATCAGATCTTTTAGGCAATGCCTGCTCTTTCGAGGTCCAAGGGGAAATAACCCAATTCCACTGCATCAATGAAGAGTGAATGTGTTTTGTTGGCCTTTGGAGTCCTCTTTTAACTCTTAATAGAGAAACTGCTTAAGCTGTCGTTTTGTGTCCATCTCACCTCAATAAGCAGGCAGAGAGGATGAAGCCTGAAACTACGGTGGCTGACAAGGGCACAACATGATATAAAACATTTCCACCAGGAGACACATGCTGCAGCTTCAGAAACAATGCTAATTCAAAAACACATTAGAAAAGTCCAAAACAAAATATAACAACAGAAACATGATGCAGATGAAAAAATGTGCAGCAGAAAGCCAAATTAACAGCAAATGCTGCAAATACAGAAATTATGCAAAGTCAAAAACAAGTTCTCCAGGCCTCTAGGGGGAGCGCTAAGTGGAACAGCTTGATTTTCGACTTGAGAGCGAAAGACCAGATGAGAAAGTGTTTGTTTTTGAAGCGGGAAGAAGAGTGGAGTAAAGATGTAACATGAAAAGGTACATATTCTTTTCTACATTTGGCCTTCTACAATATTATCAAAGAGCAACAGGGTCAAGAATCAAGCTGCTCCACTTAGCACTCACCTGCAGAATGTCCATTGTATTTACTTTACTATTTTGTTTTTGGGGTTTGTTTTGGCCTTCTGCAGCACATTTTCATATTTGTTTGGGATTTTCATATGTGTTTTTAAATCGGCATTGTTTCTGAGGCTGCAGCATGTTGCTCCTGTGGGTTTTTTTTAATGGTGCGTTTGTTTTGTACTCGCAGGTCGGAAATTCCCAGTTCCCAGTTGGAAGTTTAAACTCAAACGCACCCTGAGATCAGATTTCCAACTTGGAAACTTGGAGCAATCACATCAACCCCGACTTACGAATTCAAAATGGCTGCCGGTCACATACATAGTGAGTGAACACTCTGCTAAAGTACTGTTTATCTTATTTGTTTTACATTAGGTCAGCCTCATCTGTGGCGTTCATCAGTTGGAGTGCATGATGGTTTTGAAGCTGTCTATACTCCAAAAGTGCAAGGGCAACAAAGGCTTTCTTGCGGGCGTCCATGTTTTTTTCCGACCTCCAAGTACAAAACGAACGCACCATAAGCTACCGAGTGCGGATGCCCTTGTCAGCCACTGTATGAAACATGAAAATTTACAATGCAGACATCCCAACAGCAGCATTCAAGTAGGCCTTATAACTACTACATAACTATAGTTGGTATAGATATAGTAAACCTTTAAAGGGCAAGGCAGTCACTATTCTATATTTTTCTTTCTGTCAAAAAACCCAAATGAAAAGGCCACACAAACAATGGGTTAGTACCTTTTTTTCAATACTTTATTACTTCCTTCTGCAGTCTGTGGCACTCAGCCTCAAGTCCATTCATCCCCAGTAGAAAAGCAAGTGTATTCCTAAAACAGCTGGACACTGTTTTAACAAAAACATCAGACAGGAATAATGATACATTTGTTGGGAACTATTTTTAGTCATGGATTAATACACATTGGATGTACTCGTATTTACTGCACCAGGACAGAATATGGGACAAACTCAAAATAAACTACAGTGCCCAGGTTCATTGTGATAGAGGAACATGTCACCCTGAACAACAGTGTGATTTACTGATGTGTCTTTAATTGTTTTTGGACAACAATTGAGGTCAATGGCGCAGAGGAATATGAAAAAAATGATCATCATATATGTTCGTATGGAACCATTAGATTAGATCTCTTCATGGGATTTGTTGACACTCTCAGACTTAATCTTTAACCCATATAGTTTAGTGACTGCGTGTATTATCACAAAGACGAATCTGTGTTTTTATAAAGGACTATTTTACATTTTAGTAAGGGAAATCGCTAAATTACAGACTACTTGATATACTGATTTTTCATACTTAACACCTTGACACATCACAGATGAAATATTTAACAGCAAACTGTGTACTAGAATTGCAGCACATGGCATCCAGAGCCTCGTGTTAGACTAGAAAGTCTGTATTGGAGCAAAATAAGGATCCAAAAGCTTCAATCAAGAAAGGCTTTCCTTCATAATTCTACCATAACCTAGGAGCTGCAAATCTGAATTTATCATTTAACATCATGATGACGAACATAAACACAGACAATGGCTGCTGAGCAGTGACATGCTCATCAGCAGACTTTGTTCTAGCGATTGGCGAGAGGGCTTCATTACGGAGAGAAATTAAGAGCAGCGTGGCATTGCATCACGTGACATTGAGGTTAGTTACAGTAAATGTTAGCTGACCCGTTTCAAAGCCACTGGGCTCCTCAGGGTGTGTGGTGTTCGCTCTTTGTGTGCTGTGTGAGAAAAAACATGCACAAACAGCTCCATACCAAGTGCACAGGAAAAGCACCATCTCATCATTGTTTCTGGATCTATTGAGTTAAAATGTTTGTTTGTAAGGCTGTTTCATGAATGTAAACTTCAGACACAGAGAGATGTAAGTTTTATTAATTAAAGTGCTATGAGAAATATGTAAGATAAATTGCCTTTAATTTGTTGTGTTTGCGCATCTAATAATTTCCTGTCCTGCCTCCCACTGTTTCCACAGCAGTGATGCTACAGGGCTACACAGAGAGCGCGACAGAGAGAGGGCGGATTTACAGCAGCATCAAGTCAAGAGAGCAGGGGTGAAAATAACTCCAAAGACCTTTCTCTGCATGAGAGTTTCCCATCTGTCACTTCACAGAGATTCACCGGCATTCTGCAGCATTAAGTCATGTCTTTGTACTACTAACCAGTCAACACGTTCTCTGCATTATCTGGTTACAGATGTTTTGCACCAACCGTCTCCTTCAAATGGAATCAACCATCAGCTGCACTAATCTGCTGGTCTGAGGCCCGGACAGAGATCTCTGCTGGTTTGAAGCAGCATCCTGTGCCTTTAACCAGAAGATGCAGCTGACTGAACCCATTTTGCATTCACTCTTCACTCCACTTCACTCCACTCTACTCCACTCCATTCCCCCTGCTACCTCTTTTCCCTTCTCTTAGCCCCAACCCTGGCTGTCATCAGAATGCAGGGGCTGTCTGGAGGACCACACACAGAGTAATTATTAATAAGAGAAGATGACAAGTGAGCATCCCTCCTGAATGCTAAGAGATGCCAGCGGAGACTAGAGATGGCCGGCTGCCGGACAAGGCCGGGCTCCTCTTTCCCGCTTATCCCCGTTCAAAGTCATTCGCAGGAGGGGCGTGAGAATATGCAGGTCCCATTCTGCTAATCATATCCTGCCACGCTGAGATGCCCTTTGCATAAAGACGACGTGTTCATAAATAGAGATTTAAGATTTCACACTCTCTCTGACATGGTTTCAAACAAGGCTCTGGCGGGTGTTATACTTACTGGGGGTTGCTCATGTTGAGGTCTTGTTGCTGCAATTAGTCGTTCACACTAAATGACCTCAAGTGTGAAATGTGATTTCACCACCGCAGAGACCTGGCTCCTACCACACCTAGGTAAAACATAGAAAGGACAGTGGAATTAGCAGAGGTTGGACCAAGGCATTGTTTTGGAAGTCTCAAGTCTTAGTCAAGTGCCAAACTAAACTTTGAGCATCCAACCCTCAAACAAGATATAATGCGCTCTTCACCAAGTGAAATGGGATTTTAATAACAGAGCAATATATTCAATTTACAAAATCATGAATGCTTTGTTTTAAATTTATATTTATTAGTTAAAACAAGTTTGTTGGAAGCTGGGGATTTCAACCCTGTGGTGGGGGAGCCCTTCTGTCAGAGTTTGCATGTTCTCTCCGTGTTAGCATGGGTTTACTGCGGGTGCTCTGGCTTCCTCCCAAAATCAAAAGACATGCAGGTTAACTGGTGACTCTAAATTGGCTGTAGGTGTGAATGTGAATGTGAATAGTTGTCTGTCTCTATGTGTCAGCCCCGTGATAGTCTGGTGACCTGTCCAGGGTGTACCCTGCCTCTCATCCAATCATTTTTCCCAACTGCTGGTCTGTAATATGTAACGTTTAGTCTTCAGGTTTCTTTCCTGCAACTTGATTGGATGCTGTTGGATTGGTTCAAACAAAGTGACTCTGGGTAATTAAGTGTAAAGAATAACATTAAGGTCAGTCAATTTAGGAAATGAACTGATTTGAGGCACACTGTTAAACATACTTTTTAATTTCTGGGCTTGTAGGAAGTATTTTCCAGTCAAAAGGCTCAAGTGCAGTCACAGGTCATTGGTGTTGAAGTACAAGTGGAGTTGCAAGTCTTTTTAGATTTGCCTCGAGTCCGAGTAATGTGACTTGAGTCAGCACCTCTGGTAATTAGTACAGAAAAAGGAAATCATGAAGCAAATCCATCTGCTGAGGAACATTGTGAGATAATTGGGAGATTCAGAGCAGCTTTTTTTTGCCAAATGCTTTTTTCAAGGTCAAAAAAGAACATTTAATCTCAAAATCATGAAATATCTGTACACAGTTGAGTATCACAACACAAATGCACACAAAATTATCAATGAAGTATCGGCGCATATGCTTCTGAAGGAGCCCTGTCCTAACTCTGTTCAACTATTTTCCTGGGGAGCACTAAACTGTAATGGATTTTAAATCTCCTCCAATAAACGCTCCGCTCTGTGAATCAGGGGCTGAGGAACATCACACCTCTTGCATAGCAAGTACAGCGGGATGCTAGCTCTTTGTGCCATGGGATAGAGAGCCATTGATGTCCAAGCCTGGTCAGTGAAAGCCCACTCCAGCTGCTTTGCAGGGAACAGACATGACATGGGCAAACACACAGCCACTGCTTTAACATGGAACAGCCACTGTTGCAAAAAGCTCAGTTCTGTGTTGCAAAGTAAAGTAACACTGAAATCAGCTGTCAATGAGATGAATTGCGATGGTTATATATTTGCATTGTTGTTCACAAAATCATGAATTGTACAATATTGCACGTATTCGGGGCCGTGTGTGACACACAGAGGCACAGCGGAACACCTTCAGACATGGAGAGGTGAGGAGTCAGCATTCACAGCTGCAGCAGACCACAGCAGAGTAATGTAGTGAAGCACAGCAGATTAAATGCTACTCAGGATAAATCAGCCCAGGTCATTCAAGGGCTGCGAGTGACACTGTTTCACTGCAGAACCTCCCCAAAAATGTGTCATAATATCTCAGGAAATAAAGATATTGATCCTGCCATCAGATGAGCAGGAAGTCACACAGCCAAACACTTTCTGTGAGGATTCACTGAGGTGACCAGAGAGACAAGTGGGATCACAGATTGTTTCTGGGATGTAGGGCAAACTGTTTCAGGACTTGAGTAAGGATTGAATCTCACAATCAGCATCTTGAGCTACTTCTAAATACAGTGTACAGTGAGGGCTTCATTAGCGGAGGTGGCTGTCCACAAAGGCAGCAATCCTGTGGGTCATCTCTGTCCAGGCTTTCTGCACGTAACCTAATCAAGATGCAGTCATTCCCAACCAAATCGTTGCTACACAAACAGTTATGGTGCTGTTAACATTTCCCCACTGTGCTCAGAGGCCACACAGTCTCATTCTTGCTCAAACCAACACAAACGCATCAACTAAGCAGCGCGCTTTAAACCAGCAAAGAGACACACTAACCTCTTGCGTTCTCTACATTGTGCAAAGTGTGGTCGTGACTCCTTTGCCCTCGCAGTGATGATGGTAATATCTCCCCTCTCGCCGATGCTGATGATGATGATGGTGATGATGATCGGTGTGAGGGAAGCTCGGATCTTGCTGTGTGTAGGCTGCGATTCCCCTTAAATTTGCGTTGGCCAAGCACCCGTATCGCCTCTCAGAAGACAGCGCACGACGAAAACACCTACTCAGGACTGAAAGCAGCATCCTTCAGCGGAGACGACGAGGGCTGTCACTGAATCAGGGAGATAACGACATGTTCGGAGGGAGGCATAATGTGCTTGCAGGGCTTCCCCCACAATCACACCAGGGACTCCATGTGCCCGATAATAAGGAGGAGAGGTTCACGACCGGGAGCTGTCCAGGTGCTGAAAACAGGATTCCAGCGGCTACAGATGTGTGACGAGCAGCGCCGTCACCGCGGAGGAAATTCACAGATCCACACACCCCTTAATAACATCAAATGAAAGCATATATGTGAGTCTATATTCATGTCAAGCCACAGGAGCCTGCAGACGTCCCTCTTTCTGTGCCACCCTGGAAGCGTCGACGTAGAAAAACACTCTCGCTTCACTTCACCTCTTGAGCTTCAGAGTTCCTCGCGATAACAACCCACCCGCACGAAAAAAAAAACAAAAAAAACAAACCCTCTTACAGTGACCTCAAGTGTTTCTGTGGTGAGTTTATGATGACTGAGTGCGGTGTTTAATGCCATTTATTAGGCTGCAGCCTCACTGGAATATTCCCAGGTAGCCTTGCTGAGATTTTTGAAAATGTAGCGCAGGATTTAGGCCCCGGCACAGAGAGAGGGTGAGAGGAGAAGAGAATGGCAACATTATATATATATCTGTGCTCTTATTGTATTTTAAAAATACTGCCCCTTTCTAATATTGAAGCCATTATGAAAGGTTTATAAAGTGTGACTAATGGCTTTATCAGTGGTTAAAATTAATTAAACAATGTTTTAGAAATCATTGAGCCCATAAACAAGAAATGGCTAAATCTTTGTGGGCTTCAAGGATATTAAAAAATATCTGACAGGTATTTATCCTTTCTGCTTGGTTAAAATGCAGTTTGAAAAGTATCAGTCCATCACTGAATGTATATTGGGTTATCAGTTTCTTATCAGCCATCAAGTCTGCCTTTATACATGTTAATACATGTTTAACAATCATTTTTTTAATGTATCAATTAATCTATTTGTGGCATGAATTCAAGTGCAGTTCCAGAGAACTGTAATCCCAGTGCCGGATCTAACACATTCAGGGACCTTGCCCAGGGCGAGGAACTATCCCTCCCCCTATTATTATCTTTGAATGTATTGTATTTATCACAAACAAGAAAAATAACTAATGAAAAATCATCACAAATAAACTTAGCTAACAATCAATAAAAAATAACGAACAATAAAATTTGCAAATTGTGTCTTCTTTTTTCATCCTGCGCCCCATGTGGCTTTTGTCTTTAGATTTTTTCTTACTAGTCTAGTAGCCAGCCCATAGAGCCCCATTGTGAACCCGGAAATGTTGAGTACACCAAAGTTTTATTGCAGAAATGTGAAGTATGGGTCCCAAGCATACAGAAACTGCCGGATGCAAATTTTCATATGTTGAGCAATTTGCATAATTAGCACAATTAGCATAATTAGCAGAATCGTCCAGATTGACAATAGATTTTGCACTGTGTGACCAGTTTCTACAATATTGGAGTGGTTTAAGAGGTTTCTGGCACTTTCAGACTTCAAAGTGGTAATTCTATAACAAATTTGGATAAATTTAGACACATTTTTCATTAATTTCTGACAAATTTTTAGGTTATTTTCATGGTAAACACAATAATCTCACATTTGAGAATCACAAGAGCTCTTGCTCTTTGATGTGAATGTTGATAACCTAAATTTGTTTACATTTCTTGAGGTCCGGTCATGTTTTTATGCAAATAAGCTGTTGCAGCTAGCTGTTGTAGTTGTAATAAGTATGTTGTAAAGCAAGGGAGCATAGTCTAGTTTTAAAGTACTTGAAACATTTAAAAAATGTATGGAAAACTTAATCATAAAGGGAGCAGTTTCACCAACTAGCAAGTCTTCCTTAAAGCGGAACGCCGGCGTTATTGAACTCATAGCCCTATTGAACAAGCTAATCACAAACAACTGAAACGTTAAGGAATGAGAATATTTGGTACAACATAACTTAAGTTGTGAGCTCAGCAGTAGAGCTAACCTAACAGGGCATTTTTGCAGTTTCGGTTTCATTTCAAAAATGCCTGGTTCAGTGCGCTTTAGCAGCTGGGTAAAGAACTCGTGCTACGTATTACCAAATTTTCCCGTTGCTGCACATTTCGGTTACTAGTAACAATCTTGCATGATAGGGCTATGAGTTCAATAACGCCGGTGTTCCGCTATAACACTGGGAGGGAGGTTTACCTAGTAGAACAGGCCCTAGGTCGAACCTGCAACCACCCAACAAAGGCAGATTGGGAATTGAGAGTGCTTATCTTAAAATCCCTGAATACATGTCTACTTCTGGGTGAGGTTTACCAGTGTTAATATACCTACCTAGCCTCAGTTACGCCTTCTGTGACACTCACCCCCCTTAACCTCACTCTCATTTGTGTCACGGCACCAAAATATCAGCAGTCTTCTCATAAAGTCTGCCTGCCCTGGGTTTCAAACCTGTGACCTCCCAGCAACACCAGATTGGTAATACCAACGCTGAGCTGACCCAGGCTCCCAACTCAGTAGTTAGAAAAGTTGGTTAAGTGAGTGAGGTTTACCAACATGAACTAGTGCAACTAGCATCCTAGCTGGCATCAGTTGGCATCCATTACACTAGCCAGTATCCTAAAAGCCTGGATTGCTAGTCTAGGACGGCTAGTTTACCAACGCCTCTCTAAACAAGTTTTGACATTGTCAAACTGGGTGACCAATGTGGTACCATTCTGGCCATGCATGCTCTTTCAGGATGTGATACCACCTCATATCCTGTTGGGAAGGGGAAGGTGCACTCAAGGCCATAAGAGTCGTACCTGGTAAGCTTCTCCACTGTATTGGAGAGGCAGAAGCCACAGATTTACAGATCACAAAAGCAACGAGGGCTTTCTTTCTGGCTCTGTACAATCAGAGGAACTCTGTAACCTTGGATGCAGCCCAGGATGAAATTTACTGAAAGCGCAAAAGGTCCCCAGCACTGAAGACACTACCTCCTACAGAGCGCAATATGCGCCTTCATGGAAGACGTGCCCACCTACAGGTGCTACTATGGAAAGCAGCAGACCAGCCTGATCCACAAGCTGTGGATATAACCTTGATTGGATGGAACAAGAAGATGGGCCTAAAGGAAGGAGAGGAACTGATTATGCCCACCCAGAATTCAAGTCCAGCTGCTCCTCCTGCTTTGTTAGATGTTGTCAGCTGTGGTTGCAAAGCCGGGTTGAAACCTTGCACATCAGCAAAGTGCAGCTGTGCAGCTGCAGGTCTGGCCTGTACCAGTTATTGTTCCTGCAAAGGCAATGATGGTATATGCTGCAACATACTCACACAACACCAAGAACACAAAGAGAGGGATGATGGGTCCGGAGAAGATGATGACAGAACAGACGAGGATAGTGAAGATGATGAGGCTGCCTTTTGTTAATTGTGAGGCATAGCAGATTGCCTGAAGGTGGTAGCCAGTGTGTGCTTTGTGTGGTGCGGAGGTGAGGCCCTCTTGGTTAGCCTTGCATCTGGCAGGCTGACCCGGTTTGCCCAGACTCAGTTTTAACTCTTGCGTCTTGCGGAGTTTTAACTGGGTCCTCGTTGGATCTTGCGACTTGCGGACCAACCTGGGCAGCCCTTCTGCCATTCGGGCCTCGCCCTAGCCATTTGCGGGGCCTGTCTTGTATGGCATGTACACTACAGGCCAAAAGTTTGGACACACCTTCTCATTCAATGTGTTTTCTTTATTTTCATGACTATTTACATTGTAGATTCTCACTGAAGGCATCAAAACTATGAATGAACACATGTGGAGTTATGTACTTAACAAAAAAAGGTGAAATAACTGAAAACATGTTTTATATTCTAGTTTCTTCAAAATAGCCACCCTTTGCTCTGATCACACTCTTGGCATTCTCTCGATGAGCTTCAAGAGGTAGTCACCTGAAATGGTTTTCCAACAGTCTTGAAGGAGTTCCCAGAGGTGTTTAGCACTTGTTGGCCCCTTTGCCTTCACTCTGCAGTCCAGCTCACCCCAAACCATCTCGATTGGGTTCAGGTCCGGTGACTGTGGAGGTCAGGTCATCTGCCGCAGCACTCCATCACTCTCCTTCTTGGTCAAATAGCCCTTACACAGCCTGGAGGTGTGTTTGGGGTCATTGTCCTGTGGAAAAATAAATGATGGTCCAACTAAATGCAAACCGGATGGGATGGCATGTCGCTGCAGGATGCTGTGGTAGCCATGCTGGTTCAGTGTGCCTTCAATTTTGAATAAATCCCCAACAGTGTCACCAGCAAAACACCCCCACACCATCACACCTCCTCCTCCATGCTTCACAGTGGGAACCAGGCATGTGGAATCCATCCGTTCACCTTTTCTGCGTCTCACAAAGACACGGCGGTTGGAACCAAAGATCTCAAATTTGGACTCATCAGACCAAAGCACAGATTTCCACTGGTCTAATGTCCATTCCTTGTGTTTCTTGGCCCAAACAAATCTCTTCTGATTGTTGCCTCTCCTTAGCAGTGGTTTCCTAGCAGCTATTTGACCATGAAGGCCTGATTCGCGCAGTCTCCTCTTAACAGTTGTTCTAGAGATGGGTCTGCTGCTAGAACTCTGTGTGGCATTCATCTGGTCTCCGATCTGAGCTGCTGTTTACTTGCGATTTCTGAGGCTGGTGACTCGGATGAACTTATCCTCAGAAGCAGAGGTGACTCTAGGTCTTCCTTTCCTGGGTCGGTCCTCATGTGTGCCAGTTTCGTTGTAGCGCTTGATGGTTTTTGCGACTCCACTTGGGGACACATTTAAAGTTTTTGCAATTTTGCGGACTGACTGACCTTCATTTCTTAAAGTAATGATGGCCACTCGTTTTTCTTTAGTTAGCTGATCGGTTCTTGCCATAATATGAATTTTAACAGTTGTCCAATAGGGCTGTCGGCTGTGTATTAACCTGACTTCTGCACAACACAACTGATGGTCCCAACCCCATTGATAAAGCAAGAAATTCCACTAATTAACCCTGATAAGGCACACCTGTGAAGTGGAAACCATTTCAGGTGACTACCTCTTGAAGCTCATCGAGAGAATGCCAAGAGTGTGCAAAGCAGTAATCAGAGCAAAGGATGGCTATTTTGAAGAAACTAGAATATAAAACATGTTTTCAGTTATTTCACCTTTTTTTGTTAAGTACATAACTCCACATGTGTTCATTCATAGTTTTGATGCCTTCAGTGAGAATCTACAATGTAAATAGTCATGAAAATAAAGAAAACGCATTGAATGAGAAGGTGTGTCCAAACTTTTGGCCTGTACTGTACATATAACTATTAGTTTTAAGTTGTTTCTACTTTATATCTATTTGTTGAACTCAATTAAAATTTAGTTGTATTTACTTAATTTTATGAAGTTGTTGCAACTTAAAATAGCAATAAGTGATTTAACTTGTTCCTTTTAAGTGTTAGCAACTTGAGTAAATCAACTTACTCTGACTTAACTGTTTACTCAGTGGCATTTAGGACACACAGGACAAGCGCAACAGAGAATGATTAGTTTGCAGGATATAAATATATTTTAAATTAAATAAATACAACTACATTTAAGCACATATAATAATTAAAAAACAAGTAATTTTTACAGAGTATGAGGTTGTTAAATTAGGTCAACTGTGACCAAAACAAGATTAAAATACTGCATCAATACACACAATACAATAATCTAATTGTAGCCCAATAATAATAACACTCAGACCACTGCTATTTTTACCTCAGTAAATCATTTGAATACTTCCACCACTGGAATGTGGTGAACAATTAAAAATGACCCGCTGATGAGTGTACTAACGGTTCTATGCGTACAGCTGTAATTATCCGTCTGAAGGAAGTGGTGTGTGTGTTCTTTGACTACAAAAAAGTTCCCACGATTCCATTCATGCCTTCTTTGCATACCAATCATTCAGCTGTTTCTTACCAAACCCAGACACGCTGAGCTCACATGCACAACAGGTGATTTTCTTCAGCCAATCCTGTGCCTCATCTCACAATGCAACTCAACCTCCACGAACAAAAACAAAACGTAATGTACTCAGTCTTGATCTGATAGGCTCATGCAGATGTCAACGTGGTCACAATGACTCCTGGGAGAATTTTTAAGACCTCTAATAGCTTTCCATGTATTGCTCACATGCCATGAAATGACATCACTTGTGACACACTAACAAATTACCTGCAATCACTAGGTAGTATCCTGACGTTTCGCTTGCCATTTACAATGTGGACAAACTGCAATCACAACATTTTTTTAGACCAAGGGAGGAACACACCCACATGACAGCGTCTTCAGATATACAACAAAAAGCAGTTAGGAGCTGTTGTGAAGCGTCACTATGACTCACCTCGGGAACCTGCACTAACTACCAAAAGCTGGGATTTCACAGCTGGTAAGGACAGATTTTTTGATTTATATCAGTCAGGGTGATTATTTATATCTTTCACACTGCCATATTTGTGTACACTGCCTTTTAGATTCAAGAAAATCTCTATATATGCAGCTTGGTTTTTATTTCTGGCATCCGGTTATTCCACGCTCTCCATAAGTGGTGAGAGATAAGCTCCTTTTCTAAGACATACATTTTTCTTTTCTTCTTAGGAAGCAGTGAGAAAGACTTTCCAAATGATGGCAGGTAATTATAAAAACTCATCAGAATAAGCAACAAATAATTTTAAAAGGTGAATGGTCAGCCCTGTTGGAGCTATCTTTCCTGACATGTTATGTCTGTGTAGATCATGGAGACCTCTGTGATGGGCAGGATGTGGCCTATTGCATGAATGGAGGGACGTGCTATAAAATACCTGCCATGAATACACTCTCCTGTGTGTAAGTAGAATGAAAAACTCATTTTTCATTTGTCTCTGATACAGAAATGAATATGTGGGAACCTCTGAATACCCGTTGATGTCATAAGATGGCAAAATTGTTGACAAATTTCCTCTGTGCTGACAGCCTGCCCATATTTTTGTACGTTTAAATCAGGTGCAATGAAAATTACAAAGGCAGCCGATGTGAGCAGTTCCAGCTCTTCACCAGTTCCACTGATGCAGGGCAGGCAGGGTTAATTGCAGCCGTGGTCATTGTTGCCCTATTCGTCTTAGTGGTGCTGGCGGTTGTTATCTACTACATATACAAGTAAGTGCATTACGGATTTAAGATTACCAAACGTTTTCAGGGTGTCTAAAAATAGCATCAGGATGTGGAAGTGTTTTATATGTTATAAAGTCTTGCTGTATTTCAGTCAGAAAGTATTCTTTAAAGCTAATAACCATTACTTGTGTCCACATGCAGGATGCTGAAAGCCAGGCAACAGAGCCAACAGAACAATCAGCAACAGTATTGGAGAGTAAAACCAAGAGTATGACCCTTCTCCTGATGTAAACTTGTTTTTCTTTTGGCTGTGTGCGGAGTGGGACGATGAAAGAATTCTCAGAGATGAGTGTCACTTGTGTTGTTGGATGTGGCACTGTTTTGGGTGTGACTATGAACAACCTATAGACAGGGAGGAAAACTGTTGTATTGACCTTTAAGGGGAACTAATGTATTTTCAGCCTGGGCTGTATTTTCCCATGTTTCTGTGTCTAAGTCACTAATGGAGACAACATTTTTTAAATATGGTCTACTATTGAGAGAGACCGCTGCAAAAGAGGCTGCAATGTCAATTTTTGTCCACTAAAAGTGTTTGTTTTTGCCACTGACAGGCTCAGATTGTTATCAAAAGTGTCTGGCAACTTAAAGCAAAGGACCCTGTGGAAAAAAGGAAATATTTTTCCTTACTTTTCACTGGTAGCGCTCTGAAATCTCGCGAGAGGTGACTTGTTGCAGGAAAAACAAAAGTGGAGGGTTAGTGAAAGTCGTAGAGAGGAGTGCCAGGAAGAGTTTCTTGTGTTGGAGAACAGAAAGTGTTGCTTAGTGTTATGTAAAATATTTTCAGTATCATGGCTGAATATTAAGCGGATTTTGACAATGTGGAAAAAGCGAGATTTCTCCTTGGTTACATGCAGTTCGTACTTAGGAAACCTTTCCATTTTTCTGTAGGGTATTTTCCATAATGTTGTCAGACACTTAAAATAACAATCTGAACCTGTCTGCGCTTTGAATGGGATTACAATGCAGCCTCTTAAGGCTGGAACTTCCTGTCTCAATAGTGGGCCAATTCCAAAAATTGTTGTCTCCATTTGTCACAATCAGACACAAAAACAAAGGGGGCCAGGTTGAGAATACCAAAGTTTCCCTCTAACTAAAGCCAAAGCAGGTGAACAGCTGATTAATCGTCTCATGAGATTTCTGGAGTCCGTGCTATTTGCTACAGAAAGGTTTAATTCATTTACACACACATACACAAACACACACATACACACGCACACACACACCGACACACACACACAGACACACACACACACACACACACACACACACACACACACAGGGTGTGAAACAAGTGTGAGTGGGTGAGAATTGAATCACACCTTGCACTGTAGCCTTTTTACCACAGCTATGAAGTTGGCACTGGTGTTACTCGTGTTAAATCACATTTCAATCTATGTGCTTTGCCTGAAATGTATTTACAAAGCATAGTTGGACTATGTTAAAAATATTATTTTAAATATTATTATAAACATGGAACTTGAATGATGGAATTATAAAATGATCCCTTGTATCAATTAATGTTATGCTCAGTATGCTATTGGTAAATATTTTTGCAATTGTGTGAATATATGCAATGATCTCAACTGAATGATCTGACTGTGTGATTTGTGGTGGGAGGCTGCACATACACGCACACACGCATCCACGTGCGCACACACACACACACACGCATGCACGCTCTTAATCCTCTAAGCCTGACCTCCGGCACTTCATTGCTACCCTCAACCTTTAGCCTACTCTTAACCTAATCCTTAATTTAATCTCAACCATAAACCATAATTGCCCCTCGCTGCAGCCAGGACTCGTCAGGATGACCTCACTTTTTAAAAATATCTTCACTGAGCAGTTTTAAAACTCTAAACTGGCTCTCACAAAGCTGGACATGCAGGAACACACAGAGCAAACTTAGTGACACACTGTGTGTGGGAGTCTGTATAATTAGCGTATCCCAAGCCATTCATCAGTCCCCTTAAATCTAAAAACAGGGGCACAGGAGATCCCAGGAGGCTTCTAATGAAAATGGTGGCATCAAATCTGCTTCATTTCAGCGAGGGTAGGGACAGAATTAAAACTTGTTGGACTGCATTGCCAATAGTTTGTTAGTCTTTTCATTTTGATGGACTTCCAGTATTCTCCAACAGTTGCCAACAACCAACTGGAAGAAAAAAAAACAAAAACTAGATTTGGACGGCTGACAGCTTAGTTACTCACGAGAACTCTTGCACCATCAATGAACTAGCATTGCAGCACACTCATTGTGGAATTGCTCGTTTTGTTAAAGCCAAAGACTAACTCAGGATTGTAGACACTCGGCTCAGCGCTAAGTACACTGTAGAAATGTCACCCTATTGATTATTGACAGAGCTACAATAAGTCGACACACCACAGGGTTTATCCCAAAGCATGTCAGGTCAAGTCAGTTTTATTTATACTGCCAAATATCACAAATTAAATTTGCCTCGAGGGGCTTTACAATCTGTACAGCGTACGTGTCATGTCATGTCACAATGAGGAAATATCTGTTCAGGTAGGGCCTTAAAAGTCACTTCATGTGACGTAGACACTTCACAGGTGTACCGTGGTGCTTTAAACAGCAACTGACCTCTTTCCATTGTGTATGAAATGTTTCCGTTTCTCTCAGATGCAGAAATACATTTATATTTGTTGCTGTATTAGCTTTTAAGAGGTAGAAGTGCATGAAGCTCTGTATGAAGCCAGCAAACTGATAGCATAAATCAGTGGCCTTTCTGTGATAGAAACATAGTGAATTGCTTCCACCTAGTGGCAGTCTGGCGTCCTTGGCAAGTATTGTCATGAAAAGTAAGTGACCTTACTTTGCAAAATCCATAAAATGGATAAAAAATATATGTTTGAGATTCATTTAACGTCCTAAAATTATTTAAAAGCATTATCAAAATTTCACAAGATAACACAGTTTATCTGAAATACTTCTCAATAAAAAAAACCCCACACATTCCTGTAAACAACTTACTCTCACAGGCTTCTGGCTTTGTCAAACTCTTTCGCAATTTTCAGGGCTGTGGTGTTGAGTCCCACAGACTGCATGTTAGTGATGATGGTGACCACCACCCCCTGTGGGAGGAGCGGGGTCTGGCCTTGGCACTTTTCTGTCTCCTCACTGGGTAGCACCAGGAGGACGCTGCTAGCACCCACAGCGCCTCCTGTGTGTGACACATAGTGTCTGCGCTTCCTGCACTGGCCATATTTCTGTAGTTTCTCCACTACCAGCCAGCCCTGGGCATACAGTCCATCCTTATCCCAGCTGGCCTCTGTCTTATCAGCGGGTGCCCACAGTTCTATAATAGTTTGGGGTTTGAGGAAGCCAGGGAGTAAGCCCTCAGTATTCTTCAGGTGAGCCACCTGGAAGCTGTAGAGTAAAGCGTTACCGAACAGCAGCAGGTCACCCACAGTGGAAAGGAAGCCGCCTCCTGCCCACTTATAGGAGTTGTCTACATATGGGCAGTTCACAACCCGTCCTTTCTTGTTGAGATGATAAAATCTGTGGAGGAGTGTCAACGATGAATACAGACTCACAGCTGGATTTTTATCATGTTGTGCAATCAAAAACAACTTCAGAGAAATAACAGATCTCTACAAAATTCTACTCTGATGTAATTCCACTACTTATGCTTATGACTTTTTCAAAATAAATAACGAAATGAATAACGCTGATTTATTATAGATTACCTGGAGCGATGGTAAATAATAGGGTCATTCTCTTCGGGCACAGTGTTAAGCATTCCCAGCTCACGGAACATGTTCGTCATGACATCCAGGAAGCTCTGTCCAGCAGCTCGCTCCATAGCAGCACTCAGCAGGGTGAAGGCGTGGGTGGAGTACAGAAATGTGGTGCCTGCACATAGTAAAAAAATCAATTGCATGCATCAAGACATTGACAGTGTCACATATTTGAGTTTGGCAAACAGATATGTGCTTCACCAGGTTTGAAAATGAGCGGGTCGTCCTTGAAGAGGTCCAAAGCCTGAGTGACACTTTCGAAGTTGTCCTTCAAGTAGTATTCCTCCTGCTCAAACTCTTTTTTCTTCTGAGTGGTCTCTTTGCCTTTTGTGTTCTGTTCTGTTGTGGTTTTATCTTTGTTTCCAGATGCGCTCTTTTCATCCTCTTTCTTTTCTGACTTTAAAAGACGTTTAGCTTTCTCCTTGTCCTCCTTCACTTTCTTTGCATCCTTCTCATAGTGTCGTATACCACTCAGGTGGGACATAATCATACGGGGGGTTATTGTGACCTGAAATAAACCACATTCACATAAGCTGAACAGCGTGATATTATTGCTGATGATGCGAGAAACTCTGATGCTTTGTTCAAGTAACTTACATCCTGTCCATCAAATTGTTTCTGGGGAAATTCAGGGACATATTTCTGGACAGGGACATCAAGATCTAGTTTCCCCTCCTCACGCAGTCGTGCAGCAGCTGCAGTTGTGAGGGGCTTACTGATGCTGGCGATCCGCATCACCGTGTCTGGGCTGCATGGCACACGATTTTCCAAATCAGCATAGCCGATTCCTGAGGTACATGAAGAATTTAAATGCATCATTTAAGAATGTCAAAGTATTTTCAGAGGAATATGTTGAGGATTTCATGCTTTACAATTCAAACTATTTACAGTGAAAACCCACTAAAGATGCTGGACAGTACCCAAAAGTGGTTCTTTGGCTTGTAATCATAGGGGAACTGGTTTTGGTGCTGTATGGCACTCATCTTTTAAAGGTGCTATACAGCGCCTTGGTCAAATAGTACTATATAGAACTATTAGAGGTGCCATATAGCACCATATTATTTTGGATATTTTTAGTCTGGGGGTGCTTAAATGTGACCAAATAATACCATGGATGTGTCAGTATGCTTTTCAAGGACTTTTACTTAAAATATGAGCAATTATTAATCATGGATTATAAAAACGTTGGCTTAAAAGATTCAGAATCCTGCACTAAATGCTCACAGAGAAACACAAAGTTACCTTTTAAAACCTGGAATATTTCTGTACACATGGGGGCACAGGTGTTGGAATACACCGTTTGTTAGCTATTTTGATGTAGACTAAACTAAACTAAACTTAGCTGAAGAACCAGTAGAGAACCTCTGAAGAACAAAACAAGGGCTGAAAGGGTTCTTTGTGTAGCAGTGGGTCTATATAACACCTTAACATACGCCAAAGAACTGCTGAGGAACCAACATTTTTCTGTGTGTATAGCCTTATTTTTCAGGACATTTCAGAACAGGAAATGATTCTGCTGGCTTGATTCATGGCACAAACAAATGCCACTAAGGTTGCCAACTCTAAGTGGGCCACTTGTGCTCCGAGGCAAACACAGCTTAAGCTTAAAAGCTATTTGTTTGTTAATAATTCATTTCATTGTTATGTTTTTACTTTGTTCCTAGGTTTCTCTTTTGTACAATGCTGAGCCAATGTTTAATTTGGTTGGCAACTTCCAATCAATTGTTTGCCAAAAGTGACATGACACCGGCAAGAATGGCAGATTTCTGGGGTACTGGCCAATGTTGTGCCATAATTGGAAAGGGAGGGAACTGTTAACCACATTGGCAACAGTATTAATTAGTCTTGTGGGCCAAACATTGGACCAGCCAAACTGGTGATGGGCCCGACCAGTTTACATAGCTCAAGTCCACAAACCTTGTGCCAGTGTTGGCATGATTATAGCAAGGGGGGCAACTTTAACAGCAATTCAACTTTGTGGGGACATTGATATGCACCAAGTATATCGAAGTAAATCTATTAGTAGACGGACAAAAATTAATCAGCAGCTATTTTGAGAACTGATTAATAATCTGAGTCACTTTGGAGGCTTTTTTGCCCTTTGGATGGGACAGTATTAAGCATGAAAGGGGGGGAGAAAGGGGGGATGACATGCAGCAAAGGGCTGCAGGTTGAAATCGAACCCACGGCTGCTGCAGCAAGGATACTGCCTTTGTTTTTTTCCTGGTTGCAGCCTACTATTGTTGGCCAAATTGCACAAAGGCAAATGTGAGGCACCATTGTCACCCCAGTGTTTGCTTTGATGGAAACTGTTACAACATTTTCTAACTCTGGACCAGCCTTTAAGTGTGCTGTGGGCCAGCCATAGTGCCAATGCACTGGCCTAACCTGTTGACATAAGGAGAGCCCACAGCACAAAATCATACTGGGCAAAGACTAGCTTCATTAGTATCAGAATTTTTTTAATAATGCTGCACGAAGGGCTTTTAAAGTGGACTTTTTAGACACCAACCTTCACTCCAGACTTGAGCACCATCCACAGAGACCCCAACCAAAATCCCTGGTGCCCCGACCTCAGTCTGAGTGACAATAGACACAGACACGGAGACACTGATACAGGTGGCACTGAGGTTAAGCAGGGAAAACAATAACTGGGCAAAGGTAAAGTGGTTAATTAAAAACCAAAGTGTTCATGGGCCTACCTCAATGCTTACCTTTATCCTCTCCACAAGGTCTCTGCTAACTTTTATGGCATTGCTGAATCGATCAGTCCTCTGTACTGGTTTTACTCCAGCGTCACAGGAGCTGTTGGCGGTGTCAGCTCGGTATTTCAATCCCACAGCTACAGCAATCCCCACACCAACCCCATATATCCAAATCCTGGACTTTGACTTGTGTTTAAAAACGGCTGTGTTTGACCCTCCGACATATCGTCTCTGTTGGTGAATAAAAACACTTGTCTGTTGACTGTCTCGCGCCGGTGTTAACAAAGAAGACCCGCGCGCTGTT